TTGTTGTTGTTTTTAAGACTAGTCAAGTGAAGCAGTGGGAATGGGGAAGGAACAAAGAAATCTGTAGCTGGTTGTGATCAATTAGTTGTAAACATGTTTTTTTTTTTTTTTAATGAGTAAAAAAAAAAGCATCTCTGCTGTTATAAACATGTTTATTTTTTTAAATGAGTTAAAAAAAAAAAATCTCTGCTGTTCCATTCTGAGCTCTGTAAGAGTAGGGTTGTATGTATTTTCCCTTTCACTATATAGCCACGCAGTAAAGCCTCGTTTATTGAATGAATGTCCATCATGTGCTAAGTAATGTGCTAAAACTTCACATAAACTTTAATCCTTAAAAAAAAAAAGTGAGGTATGTATTGTTTTGTCTATTTTAAAGATTAGAAAATTAGACTCCAAAAAATTACATAGTTTATCCATGATGCCATAGCTAATTGCATAGTTTATCCATGATATCATAGCTTTGCCACCTACTAGTGACGAGGCCAGAATTTAAACCCACTTTATAAACTAACTGTAAACTCTTCTTCCTTAACTACCTGAAGTTAAATGGAAAAAAAAAATTTGCTTAGTTTTCTCTGTGTAATTAACAGAATTTACTATTAACAAAAAAAAAATTAACTTATAGTTTTACATAACTGTATTCCTTTAATAAGTGACAAAAAAAAAAAGATTCAATAGCATAGTCTGAATTATGAAGAAGAAAATGCGAAGGAAAAAAAAAAAATTTTAGGTGGAGAGAGACCTGTAGAGATCAAAGCCTTGTGTTAAAAAAAAAAGAAACTGAGTCTAAAACAGTAGGGTACCTTGTTAAAAGTCATATAAAAAAAAAATAGAAGCTAGATCTCCAGATTCTCAGTCTGGAAATAGGATGCTAAAAAAAAAAAATTCAGTTTAGGGTAGTTTCCAAGCGTATGTTTTTATATTCTTTAAAAAAAAAAACTCCCTAGCCCCAAAGACTTCTTACTTTACTGAATAATAAAGTAAAAAAAAAATATAAAGGATAACTAGGTAAAGATACTAGTTGGGGTAGTTCAGAAAAAAAAAAACCTCCGTTGGTACTTTTTCCACTTGGCTAGTTCGTAATTGACCAAAAAAAAAAATCTGTAAGATAAATAATAACAGTTAAATCTCCATCTTGCGTGTGAAAAAAAAAACTGATGAGAGTAAATAAATTGCCTAAGGTCACAGTGGTTTTTTACTTTATTCTTTTAGTTCTTTTTTTTGAAACAAGATCTGGCTCTGTTGTCCAGGCTAGGGTGCAGTGGTGCAATCTTGACTTACTGCAACCTCCACCTCCTGGGGCTCAAGCCATCCTCCCATCTCAACCTCCCAAGTAGCTGGGACTACAGGTGCACAGTTTTGTATCTTTTGTAGAGATGGGATTTTGCTTTGTTGCCTAGGCTGGCCTCGAACTCCTGAGCTCAAGTGATCCACCCGCCTTGGCCTCCCAAAGTTCTAGGATGACGGGTGAGCCACCACATCCAGCCAACAGAGTGTTTTAAGGATGAAGCTGGACTCCTAGAGCATAGGTTAGCAAGCTGGCCAACAGTTTTAGTAAATAAATTTTTATTGAAACACAACCAAATTAATTCATTTACATATTATCTGTGGTGGTTTTCATGCTACAACAAAAAAAAAAACAAAAGCAGAGTTTAGTAGTTGTGACAGACCTTATGGCCACAAAACCTAAATATTTACAGTTTGGCTATTTTTGGTTTTTGTTTTGTTTTTGAGACAGAGTCATGTTCTGTCGCCCAGGCTGGAGTGCAGTGGTGCGTTCTCGGCTCACTGCAAAAAAAAAAGGTTCAAGCGATTCTCCTGCCTCAGCCTCCCAAGTAGCTGGGATAAAAAAAAAACACCACCACCCACAGCTGATTTTTGTATTTTTAGTAGAGATGGAATTTCTCCATGTTGGCCAGTCTGGTCTCAAACTCCTGGCCTCAAGTGGTACACCAAAAAAAAAATCCCAAAGCGCTGGGATTACAGGCATGAGCCACTGCACTTGGCCAAAAAAAAAAGTTTACCAAAAAGTTTGCTGGCCCCAGTTCTAGACTCTTGGCAGTGACACTGTACGAGTTTTTTCTACCTGGGAGAGTACATACTGCCTCTCAAGCTGAAAAAAAAAAACGGGTCATATTTAATAGGAAGGAATCTGTGTCTCTGTGGCTGTTATTCTGTAGAACGGGTGTTCTAAACTTGCCAGTCTACCAAAGATCCATACCAGAAAAAAAAAACAAAGGATTTAAAATTTTCAAAGTTAGGAATTACTGCAACAGAAAAAAAAAAAAGGTGGTGAAAATACATTAATCAACTAACAGTGGTAACTAGGATCAAAAAAAAAATCATTTTATAACACTGCTCTCTGGAGCTTTTAAAACAACCATATAAAAAAAAAAAGGTGCTTTGGATTCTGAAAATAGAGTGCAAAGATCTAGATCAGTGATTCTCAAAGTGTGGTCCCGATACCAGCAACACCCACATGTCCGGGAAACTTAAAAAAAAAAACAAATTCTCAGTCTCTACCCTATACCTGCAGATCAGTAATTCTAAAAAAAAAACCCAGCCATCTGTGTTTTTAATGAGACCTTCAGGTGATTGTAATAAAAAAAAAAGCTTGTGAACCACAAGGGGACCTCAGAATTTTTGTTTCTTGCCAAAAAAAAAAAAATCCTGATGCTGCCAGTCTGGGGACCATGCTTTGAGAGCCGCTAAAAAAAAAACTAGAAATAAAAAATAGGGTATAGGCCAAGAAAATAGCTTTTTGAAAAAAAAAAATCCTGTTGAGAATCTTGATTTTGATGAGCATAAAATGGGCATTAAAAAAAAAATTTACTTCAAAATTTAAATTTTAAAAATGCATACATGTATGTATAAAAAAAAAATTTTTTCCTCTAAGGAAAGAAGAGGGCAGACAGAGATGAAGCGTAAAAAAAAAACTTTCAGAGTCCCATTTCTCTCTTTCCTTCTAATAGAGAGAACCAAAAAAAAAAATTTGGTGTATATCACATGCATGTTTTTATAATTACAAGTTCTGTATAAATTTGTAAGCAGTGTATGCTTACACATTTTTATATTTACCTCGTAACAGAAAAAAAAAATGCAACTTTTTCTCCAGACTTTGTTTCTGAACGTTATCCATGTTGATACAATATCATTTTAGCTCATTTATTTTACCTGTTATGTAAATACGACATAAAAAAAAAAAACATTTTCCTTTTAATAGGCATTGGATTATTCCTATTTTTTACTATTTTAAACAATGCTGCAGTAATCTTGTACCAAGTCTCCATGTAGACCGTACAACAAAAAAAAAATCTGGTATATGCACAGGCAGTAGCAGTTGAGAAGTAGGATAAAGGCTTTGCTAGCTTTGATAGATATTGCTAATTGCTCTGCTAAGGATTGTTCCTATTCACCCAATTGCAAGGTATGAAAATCCCATTTCTCTACATTTTTATCAAAACCTGACATTTCAGACATTTTAAATGTTGCCAAAGAGAGGTGAAATAACTTCTAGTTTTTAAATCTATAATTACCCAAGTTCCAGGGAGCTTGAGCTAGTTCTCATGTTCTCAAAAAAAAAAGTTTCTTATTCTGTGAGTTACCTGTAATGTCGCTTATCTGTTTCCTTTTTGGATTTTTTGCCTTTTTGCATAGATTTATAGATGCTCTTTATGGAATCAAAAAAAAAATTTTATAAGTTGTGTTTCAAGTACTTTATTTCAGTCTATCGTTAAAAAAAAAAATTGGTTCATGGATTTTATTGAGGTACCGAAATTTATCAACTTAAAAAAAAAACTTTTTTTTTTTTTTTTTTTTTGAGATGGAGTCTTGCACTCTCGTCCAGGCTGGAGTGCAGTGGTGCGATCTCGGCTCACTGCAAGCTCCGCCCCCTGGGTTCACGCCATTCTCCTGCCTCAGCCTCCCGAGTAGCTGGGACTACAGGCGCCTGCCACCACATCCGGCTAAATTTTTTTTTGTATTTTTAGTAGAGACGGGATTTCACCATGTTAGCTAGGATGGTCTCGATCTCCTGACCTCGTGATCCACCCACCTCGGCCTCCCAAAGTGCTGGGATTACAGGCTTGAGCCACTGTGCCCGTCCAAAAATTTATTCTTTTTATATCTTATTTAAGAAAGTCTTTTTCTATTCTTGGGTCTTAAAGATGCTTTACTTTCATCTGAAGTTCTGAAGCTTTGCTTTGTACATTTAAGTCTTTATCTGGAATTCACTTTTGTGTATGGCATGAAGTAGAACTCAAATTCTATTTTCTCTTTTCAGGTAACCAGTTGTCTCAGTACCACCCTTTTGTCATTGACTTATAATCACCTCTGTGATATATTAAGATTATTCTATGTACATGGGTCTGTTTCTGTTACTCTGATCTCTTCTGTTGGTTTAGTTGTCTGTCAGACCCACATTGTCTTATCATCACGTTACACAAATAATATCTGGTAAGACGTATCATCTTATTCTGACCTTTTTCAAAACTATTGTGTTCTTAATCATTCACTCTTCAAGGTAAATTAATGTAATTGGCATGTCGAATTCCATGAAAATTTTTGTTTTTAAATTTCAATTGGCATTACATCGAATGTATTGATAACTTGAGAGAGGATTGACTCTTTCAATTCATGAACATAGTATATCTCCTTTATTCAGGCCTTCTGCTGTGACCTTCAATACGTTCAATAATGTTTCAGTTTTTCCCAAAAGGTTTTGGGTATCTTTTATTAGATTTATTTCTATACACACTATGTTGCTTTTTTGGATAGTATTGTTTTTCTAACTGGTTATTTCTGGCATAGAGACGCCTTTTGTTTTTCCTTTGTGAACATATTATTCTCTCCTTTTCCAGTAGATGTCAGTAAAATACATTGAGCTCATTATTAAGAATATTTTCTTTGCAATGATGTCTTTTTACCCCTTAAAATGATTTGTGTATTTAAAGATATTGGTTCTGAAATATTTCTAAATTATCTCCCTTTGTTCCATTTAGGAGGATAAAAAGAAGCGAGATCGAGACCGGGTGGAGAATGAGGCAGAAAAAGACCTCCAGTGTCATGCGCCTGTGAGATTAGACTTGCCCCCTGAGAAGCCTCTCACAAGCTCTTTAGCCAAACAAGAAGGTTGGAATAACTCTGAATTAACTATCCTGAATGAGGATGCTGCAATTATTATAGCTCAGGAAAATAGTGGGGTTTTAGCTCCAAAGTTGGAGCTTTGTAATTGAATTTTTAAGTTTTTTCTCTCAAACTGCATAAGAGCTTTAAATTAGCTTCAATTTTGGATTGATACTCTCAAAACTTCAATATATTTTTAAGATAAATGGAATTTCTGTATGAGGTATTTAATAATGGCTATTATTAAATAGAAAATGATCTAGTAAAACTCTCTAGAATACTCCTTTTTAAAACACCCTTTTCCCTTCTTCTTTGCTTTAGAAGTAGAACAGACGCCCCTTCAAGAAGCTTTGAATCAACTGATGAGACAATTGCAGAGGTAAGTGTTTTTCCAATATTTTTATAACATAGAAATTAAAATGGTAAATGTGTAGCATCCAAACCACATTGTGCCTAACTCCAAACATACTTGATTTTAGTGAATGATAAATATTTTGCCTGGCAGCAGAAGTACTCCAAGAGGCTAACTTTTAGATATTCTTTATTTGGTTTGTTTCCCTAGCAACTTGAAGGGTGTTACATAATACTTTTAATGACAAATTTCTGTCTCTAAAGTAGTTTCTGATGTTAAAACTTTAAGCCAGGAATAAACAATACAGCTATTTCCACTTTGCTAATAGATAGAAATACCTTCTGTGTATTTGTACAATGCTTATCATGCCATGAATGTTTAACAGTTATTAAGTATGGGAGAAAAAATAAAACACCATGAATAGGAATTATGGCCTTCTTTTAAAAGCAGAAATTTGTTTTTAAAATTTCAGTGCCTAGATTAAGCCAATGTTGAGTTCTTAAAAGGGAAAAGAATAACTCAGTCTTTATAAAACATTTATTTTGGGACGGGTGCTGTGGCTCACGCCTGTAATCCCAGCACTTTGGGAGGCCGAGGTGGGCGGATCACGAGGTCAGGAGATGGAGACCATCCTGGCTAACACGGTGAAACCCCATTTCTACTCAAAAATACAAAAAAATTTGCCGAGCATGGTGGCGGGCGCCTATAGTCCCAGCTATTCGGGAGACTGAGGCAGGAGAATGGTGTGAACCTGGGAGGTGGAGCTTGCAGTGAGCTGAGATTGCGCCACTGCACTTCAGCCTGAGCGACAGAGCAAGACTCCGTCTCAAAAAAGTAAAATAATAAAATAAATAAATAAATAAAAATAAATATTTATTTTGATACCTCTCTTTACTCAAAGATATTTACATTATTTGCAAAGGGTTTATGGTTGTAGAGCATACATTTTTACAGTGGACTTTCTTTCATTGTATTGAACTTAAGTCAACCCAGAACACATTGTAAATAATTTTTCTCTAATGTAATCTGTATTCAATGCCTGTTTAGGTTTGCAGTTAAGATCAGAAGTTAGCCGAGTATAGTAGCTCATACCTGTAATCCCAGCACTTTTTGGGAGGCTGGGGTGGGAGGATCACTTGAGGCCAAGAGTTTAAGACCAGCCTGGACAACATAGTGAGACCCCATCTCTACAAAAAAATAAAAATCCTAGTGTGGTTGCACACACCTGTAGTCCCAGCTGCTCCAGAGACTGAGGTGGAAGGATCACTTGAGCCCAAGAGGTTGAGGCTGCAGTGAGCTGTGATAGCACCATTGCACTCCAGCCTGGGCAGCAGAATGAGACCTTTTCTTAAAAAAAAAAAAAAAAGAACTTACTGGTCTCTCTTCTTTTTTGGTGTTTGAGAAAAATTAATCTCTAGTCTTTATATTTAAATAACTCATTCATTACTTCACTACTTGTCCAAAGGGAGTGAATAGGTATTGGGTATTCCATTGCAGTTTACAAGGTGTGACTGTAAATGTCATGACTGCTTTACAGTTTTTCTTGCAACATAAGACCAGAATGTAAGTTAATGATGTCACCTTAAAAGAAATGACTTAATTAAAAGAAGACATTCAAATGGCCAATAGGTATATGAAAAAATGCTCACCATCACTAATAATCAGAGAAATGCAAGTCAAAATCACCGTGAGATACCACCTCACCCCAATTAGAATGCCTGTTATCAAAAGACAAAAAAAAGAAAAGCTGGCAAGAATGTGGTAGAGAAAGGGAAATTGTATATATTGTTGGTGGGAATGTAAATTAGTATCGCTATTATGGACAACAGTATGGAGGTTCCTCAAAAAATTAAAAATAGAACTGCTGTATGATCCAACAATTCATCTACTGGGTATATATCCAAAGGAAATGAAATCAATATGTCCAGGAAATACCTGTACTCTCATGTTAATTGCAGTGCTATTCATCGTAGCCAAGATGGAATCAGTCTAAGTGCCCATCAATGGATGAATGCATTTTTTAAAATGTGGTATGTATACACAATGGAATATTAATTCCACCATTAAAAAGAATGAAATACTATCATTTGTAACAACATGAATGAACCTAGAGGACATCATGTTAAATGAAATAAGCCAAACACAGAAGAACAAATACTGTGCAATCCTTTTGTAGTTCATAAGTGAAATGATTGGGTTTTCATGTTCCTTTGTGAGATATACCACCCTCAAACTTTGTTACAGCGTCAGCACATTACCAATCTGATGTGAAGACAGAAAATATGGTGAGGGCACAAATATGACATCATCTCATTCATGTGGGATCTTAAAAAGTTGATTTCATAGAAGTAGAGAGTAGAACAGTGTTTACCAGAGGCGAGGGAAAGGTAGAGGTGGTCAGCAGGTACAGAATTACAGTTAGATAAGAGGAATAAGCTCTGGTGTTCTGTTGCACAGTAAGGTGACAGCAGTCCACAACCATTTATTATATACATCAGAATAGCTAAAAGAAAGGATTTTGAATGTTCTTATCCCAAAGAAATAACAAGTGTTTAGGGTGATAAATATGCTAATTACCCTGATTTGATCATTACACAGTGATACTGAAGTATCCTTGTATATATGTATGTCAGTATATATGTGTCGAAACGTCATACTGTACCCTCTAAATATGTGCAATTATTATATGTCAATTAGAAACAAAATCTTAATGAAAAGAAAACACTTCAGAAAGTATTTCTTAGTCTAAAGACGTTAGCATTGTTAAAAACATTTTGGGAATTAGATCCCAGAGCCACACTGTTTTTGATTAGTTTTAGTGATTGGATGATTCCTTATCCTTACCAGGAGCTAAGCCTGGTTAAAAAAAAAAAAAATCTAGTTGATCAAGTTTGATAATAGCATTTTTGGTCAAAACTAGACGGGGCTCTGTATTAAAATGATTGACCTAGGAGTTAGATAATTTCCTCCAAAGGGTAGCTTCAGGAGGCCACCCAGAGATGAATGCTGCCATTACGGTAACTCCTGTGGACGATGCACATTTTGATGTATAGGTCCTGACTGGGTATTTTTGCTTGTTGTCATTTTTCAGTCTCATTGCTTAGGCACCCTGCTCTGAAAAACAAAGGCAGATTCACATAGACCTGAATCAGATTTCAACTCTTATTTAATGCATGGCTTAGGATAAATAATTTCAACCTCACTGAACCTCAGTATCCTCCAGTGGTGGAGGATACCACCACTTTGATGGCTTTTGTGAGGATTAGATATAAAATATGTCAAGTGCCTGCCACTTGGACTAGCAACATGGTAAATATGTTTTTAAAGTTGTTGTTATTTTTTAAACCATATTTTTACTGTTATTCTGTGGAGTAAGAAAACTCTTGGTATGCCAGATTTCCAGAAGGGAAAAAAAAAATCAGCATAATGATTTAATCATATAAAGCACTCGTTCTCAACCTGACAGTACTGGAAATACAAATGCCAAATACTCAAATCCCAATGCCAATACTCACCTGTGGAAATATCACTGCCTGGACCCTACCCTTTTTCCCCAAGAGCTTCTGATACAGTGGGTCTAAGCTGAGTCTTCCTCCCGCTTCTTCCCTGCATTGGAATTTTTTTAAAGCTCCTGTGTGATTCTAATGTATAGCCAGTGTTGAGAATCTGTGATGAAGAGCACTAGTTTTCAAATTTGGGTTTCTGATTTTGGGGTTTTTTTGGTCTAGTCCTGTTTTGGCACACATATGGAGGTATAAAGAGGAGCTTTTTAATGTCAGTTTTTTTTTTAGCATCCCCCACATATGCATGATAGAAGTTATATCCATTGATGGAGAAAATAGACATACATGGACCAGAAATGCAAGCCTATTAGAAGTTAATATGGAGGATTGTAGATGTATGTTAATAGTTACTATTTCAGCCTTTTCCCCTTTGGTTAATTAAAAATATGCAGTGCTGATCTCCCAAAGGTTAAAACATTGGTCAGTTAGTTGAGGTTTATTTTGCTTCATTTTTTCCTATATAGGTGGAGCTGTTAATTAATGAGGCTTTGTATTTTATAAGAAAGAAATCTCCATCCTGAGGGTACAGCTAGTATGTAAAACTTACTTGTTATTAAATAGTTAATAGACTTTAAAATCATTTCTTCAGTTTTCAGTTAAAAATATGTTAACATATTACAAATTCTTTCTGCATCTGAAGGGTTTCCTCTGACTTATGCTCCTAAACCGTTAGATTTGTTTGTAATAGAATAAAATATAACATTGTCTTTTGCATATCTTCACAGAAAAGATCCAAGTGCTTTCTTTTCATTTCCTGTGACTGATTTTATTGCTCCTGGCTACTCCATGATCATTAAACACCCAATGGATTTTAGTACCATGAAAGAAAAGATCAAGAACAATGACTATCAGTCCATAGAAGAACTAAAGGTAACTCTTCAGTCCTATATACACAAAATCTTGGTAGAAATCTGCATATCTGATATTCAGAATCTTTCTCATTGACCTTTTATTTTGCAAAGAAATGAGTTTATTTTAAGATCCAGTATCTCTGTGTTTTTTTTGCTTCAGAAAACTTTTTATGAGCTTGGTGATGGAAAACCAGATGAAATAGGTCATCTGATATCTTTCATTCATAGTTATTTTTGTCTTTAGTGAAATTTTGAGTTTGATATGTGTTCCACAGTATATTTTTTCCAACCTTAGAGTGAAATTTTTAGCTTTAGATCAATACAAGTAAAATTAATATTTTAATGAAAGTTGAGGGTTTTTTCTATTTCTAGACATATAAGGTATGCATATTGTATTAGTCCATTCTTACACTGCTATAAAGAACTGCCTGAGAGTGGGTAATTTATGACGAAAAGAGCTTTAATTGACTCACAGTTCCACAGGCTGTACAGCAGACGTGGCTGGAGAGGCCCATGGAAACTTACAGTTGTAGTGGAACATGAAGGGGAAGCAAGCACATCTTCACATGGCAGCAGGAGAGAGTGAAGGGAGAAGTGCTACAAACTTTCTTTTTTCTTTTTTTTTTTAGATGGTTTACATTTTTTTAATTAAGTTGTGTTTTTTTGTTTTTTTTAATTTAAGTTCTAGGGTACATGTGCACAACATGCAGGTTTGTTACATATATATACGTGTGCCATGTTGATGTGCTGCACCCATTAACTCGTCATTTACATTAGGTATATCTCCTAATGCCATCCCTCCCCCCTCCCCTGACCCCACAACAAGCCCCAGTGTGTGATGTTCCCCACCCTGTGTCCAGGTGTTTTCATTGTTCACTTCCCACCTCTGAGGGAGAACATGCGGTGTCTGGTTTTCTGTTCCTGTGTTAGTTTACTAAGAATGATGGTTTCCAGCTTCATCCATGTCCCTACAAAGAACATGAACTCATCGTTTTTTATGGCTGCATAGTATTCCATGGTATGTGTGTGCCACATTTTCTTAATCCAGTCTGTCATTGATGGACATTTGGGTTGGTTCCAAGTCTTTGCTATTGTGAATAGTGCCGCAATAAACATACGTGTGCATGTGTCTTTATAGCAGAATGATTT